AAAAAAGCTACAATTAAAGATTTTTGTACAAATTGCTGATTGAGATTTGGCATTGAATGATTGATGAAGGTGACAGGTTTGCCGAATGCATCGTGACTCTGTTAAAAGTTTCAAACAAGCAATAGAAATTACCGGGGATATACGGATACGAGACAATCGAGATCGAAAATTACCACTCGCTAAAAATTTCGAGTGTCTACTATTTTTACTCCCTTTATTAAAAACAAATCGCATTTTGCGAGTATTTCTCGCTAATTTCGATCCCTGTCAAATGGCCATGACATTTAACCTCAACGAAAGACCTAGAAATAAAAACATGAGAGATAACCAAAGATATCAGGAACGGTATGCCCAGAGAAACGGAAGAGTGCTGTCTCAATAGGCCAGGAGACGGCCCAAGCTGAATGGTCTTCTGTTGGAAATGAACATACTAGGACTGGTCCTAGAGGGGGAATAACTCCTCCATAGGACAATGGATTTTATACAAAAGGAACAAGATGTTTTTGTGAAACACTGATGCCCCCGTATGGCAACTTACAGTGAAGGTTAAGTTTTCTCAAATGCAAATCAAATATGTTGGTACCAAAAGTAAGGTCTTGTTCCGAGGAATATACCTGTGAAATATGAAAGCCCTTGTAGCAACCATTGACAGAATATGAAAAAAAGGTTTAAGGTTTTCAAAAGTAAGTTAAACATCAAGGTCAAATGGTCTAAAATTATTGGTGCCAAAGGAAAGGCCTTTTCACAAGAAATACACGTTAAATATGAAAACCCTAGCACCAACCATTCAAAAGATATGGCCAAGATTAAAGTTTTTTCAAAAGTAGGTCAAAATCCAAAGTCAAGGTCAAAGGGCCAAAGTTGTTAGTATCTAAAGGAAGATCTTGTCACAAGGAATACACATGTGAAGTATGAGAGCCCTCACACCAACCGTTCAAAAGTTATGACCAAGTTTTTCAAAATTAGGTCAAACTCCTAAGTCAAGGTCAATGGGCTATAATTGTTCATATCTAAAGGAAGGTTTTGTCACAGGGATTACACATGTGAAGTATGTAACCCCTAGCACCAACTGTTCAAAACTTATGGCCAAGGTTAGAGTTGGGTAAAATTTTGTAAAATGGGTCAAACTCTAAGGTCAAGGTCAAATATGATGGTACCCATAGGAAGATCTTGTCACAAGGAATACACACCGTTCACGGTAGCTCAGTCGGTAGAGCGCTCGCTCCGTGATCGGGAGGTCATGAGTTCGAATCTCGGCCTGACCAAAGTCGATAAAAAATGAGTAGCAACTGTTCCCTCGCCATGCCCTCGGCACTTTGAAGTGAAAGTTGCGGGTCCTTCGGATTAGACCTTAAAAACCGAGGTCCCATCTCACGGCAGGCGTTGGCACGATAAAGACCCCTCACTGCTCAATGGCCTTCAGTCCTGAGTAAAGGTCAAAATTTGAAGCCCTTCACCGGTATATGGTGACGTCTCTATATGAGTAAAAAATTCTCGAATGGGACGTAAAACAACAATCAATCAATCACAAGGAATACACATGGAATATGAAAGACAGAGCTTCAACCAAAAACTATATATCCTCGAATTATCGGTATGGGGGCATTAAAATGAGAGTAATTATACTGACAATGATATACCTGAACATCTTGAAGATTTACTGAAAAGAAGTTCTGTATATTTGGAGGCACAAGAGAAGGCAAATCTGGCTTCACTATCAGGATGTATTTTCACCTACATAGGATTAACTGAATTAACTCAGGTAGTGTAGGACATGTTTCAGAGAATAGAATTGCAAGTGAACTCGACAAAATAAAGGCAGTACAAGAGTGGCCTATTCCAAGACAACTAAGCAAGTGCGTGCGCAGTTTTCTAGGTCTCTGCTTATACTATCGAAGACTTGTGAAGTATTTTCAGAAATAGCAGGACCTTTACATAGGCCGAGAAGAACACAAAATTTACTTGGACCGAGGAAGCAAATGAGTCATTCCAAAATTAACGAGCTAATTCCGGAAATTTGTGTCCCCCACTTAGGGAAAAAAAAGAAGAGCATGCGCAATCGGGGGGGGGGGCACCCCCCCCCCCCATTTGTAGAATTATTAAATGTATACATGTATATTGAAGCAAATAAAAAAACTGCTAATATTGATATAAAGATTTGATTGCTTATTCTTTAATATGTGTATAGAAGACTCTTTTTAATATATATATATATCACACTGTAATAATGGTTTTTTGAGTTCGTACACTCCAGACGTCATAACTTTTTCATTTCACATGTTGAATAGTATCATTTAATAAATCCCCAAAAAAACATTTAAAAAAAGGATCGTCCGGGATTTGAACCCTGGCCTTGCAAGCATCATACCACTAGACCACGGAGGCACTTAATTATACAGCACATTAAATGCAAACATTAAATGCAAACAGTAGGTCACTTATAATGTTTACATTCACGTTCGATATTGTCAAAATTTTATACAATACATGTCTAATTTAGCCTTTACTAAACAGTTCTAATAGATGTAATTAGAATATAAAGTCCGCCGACAACCTGTATTACACGTAATAACTCTACACATGTCCCTGTGCTAAAAATAGTGCCAAAAAACTTTTAATACAATTTAAAAAAACGGGGCGGGACACTTTGAGAGGGGCGAGAGAGGCCATAAGGAGTTATGGTATAAAATTTCATTGCAAAAGCTCAAATATCGCCCAAAAACGAAAGTGTTACACACAGACGGTATTTATGAATTTACGACCCTGAACTTTGACCTTTTGACCTCAAAATCAATAGGGGTCTTTCTTAGGCCACAGGGAGTTGTTTTGTAAAATTTCATTGCAAAAGCTCAAAGAATTCGCGAGACATCGCGCGGAAACGAAAGTGTTAAAACAGAAATTTATGAATTCATGACCTTGACCTTTGACTTTTTGACCTCAAAATCAATAGGGTTCTTCTTCAGGCCATAGGGAGTTGCTGTGCAAAATTTCCTTGCCAAAGCTCAAAGGGTTATCGAGATATCGCACGGAAACGAAAGTTTTACAGACAGACAGAAATACAGACGGACAGACAGACAGACCCAAATTAATATCCCCCACTTTCAGTGAAAGCGGGGGACAAAAATCAGCCCTGACCACTATTCATTTGCTTGCATATTCCATTCATACTAAATACCGATGCCAGTCACAAGTCAGTGGGTGCTGTCCTCTCGCAAGTCCAAGATGAGAAAGAGAGTTATTACTTACATAAGCAAGTCAACACGAACAGTCATATTGTGTAACAAGAAAAGAGTAACTTGCAGTAGTCCAAGCTTTACAAACCTTTAATCCATATCTTTATGGACAGGAAGTGTTACTAAGGACAGATAATGCAGCAGTATCATGGATAAGGAAGCCCAAGAAACCAACTGGACAAACTGCGAGGTGGCTGGAAGTACTAAGAACTTCTAATCTAACCATAATTTATACACCCGGAAAGAAACATGGTAATGCAGATGCCCTCTCAAGGAGACCCTGCAAATCTTGCTCAAAATAGGAGAATGGAATCATTCAAATGATGACGAAGAAAATGAACAAACAAACAATTCTCAAGATACTGAACTTTCCCATGTGTGTACAAAGGGGGATGGACATCAATACCTGGGCACACCCAGTGGCTATATTCTCAGTGGTTGGCAGCCAGAAGAAATCAGACAGACTCAGCTGGATGACCCAGATATTTCTTTACTTTTAGCCACATTAGATGATGGAGAACCTAGGTCATTATGGGATAAGGTTTCTTCAGGAAGTTCAAGCCTACAAACACTATGGAGACAGTGAGACAGATTGCAAATTAATAACGGAGTTCTTTACACAAAATATTTTGAGGAAGATAAAGCGTCTCCAATTGATTGTTCCAAAGAAACTTAAACCAACAGTTCTTAAATATTACCATGACATTCCCTCAGCTAGTAGCTTGGTTCAGACAAAATGATTGATAGGATACAGCAGTCCTTTTACTGTCCTGCCATGAATGAGTATTGCATATGTTGTGATAGATATGCTGCTAGGAAACCTCAAAAGCAAACAAAGCCCCTTTAGAAAAATTCCAAGTTGTAGAACCCATGGAACGAATTGCATTGGACATCCTTGGACCCTTACCTGTAACAGAACAGGGCAATAAATATATTTTAGTGCTATGGGACTGTTTTACTAAATGGACCGAAGCATACTCCATTCCAGATCAAGATCTAGAGTCTCTAACAATTGCAAAAAATATTGTCAATGAATTTGTCTGTCGCTTTGGCACACCGATCAAGTTCAAATTCACTCCGACCACGGGCGGTCATTTAAAGCAAAGCTTTTTCAAGATCTTTGTAACCTTTCAATGATTGATTGCATGTTGTTTTACGTCCCATTCGAGAATTTTTTCACTCATATACAGACGTCGCTATATACCGGTGAAGGGCTTCAAATTTTGACTTTTACTCGGTACTCAGGGCCATTGAGCAATGAGGAATCCTTATCGTGCCAACGCCTGCCGTGACACGGGGCCTCGGTTTTTAAGGTCTCATCCAAAGGACCCGCAACTTTCACTTCAAAGTGTCGAGCGCATGGTGAAGGAACAGTTTCTACCCATTTTTTATCGACTTAGGTCAGTGGCGATCGAGATTTGAACTCGCTACCTCTGATCACGGAGCGAGCGCTCTACCGACTGAGTTACCGTGAACGGTTATAACCTTTTAAAGATTGATTGATTGATTGTATGTTGTTTTACGTCCCATTCGAGAATTTTTCACTCATATAGAGACGTCACCTTATACCGGTGAAGGGCTTCAAATTTTGACCTTTACTCGGCACTCAGGGCCATTGAGCAGTGAGGGATCTTTATCGTGCCAACGCCTGCCGTGACACGGGGCCTCGGTTTTTAAGGTCTCATCCGAAGGACCCGCAACTTTCACTTCAAAGTGCCGAGCGCATGGCGAAGGAACAGTTGCTACCCATTTTTATCGACTTAGGTCAGTCGCGGGCGAGATTCGAACTCACGACCTCCCGATCACGGAGCGAGCGCTCTACCGACTGAGCTACCGTGAACGGTACCTTTTAAAGATAGACAAAACTAGAACTACCAGTCAACACCCACAGGCCATCGTATATGTGGAACGATTCAATAAAACTCTTAACCTGTATGCGCACACCCTACTGTGAGAAGAATCAAAGGAAGTGGGACACATATCTACCACAGGTTGTCACGGCATATACATGTAGCTCATCTGTTCATGCCAGTACTGGACAAACTCCAAACTAAATGATTCTTGGTAGGAACTTTGTGCTACCAATGGAGGCATTTTTACATGTACCCTTACCCAGAAGAATTGATGATGACGATCTACACTCTGAAATCGAGAATATGCTCAACATGATCAAAGCACACGAGATTGCAAGAAATCATCTAAAACAAAATTTTTTCTACGATACTACGATCACTGAGCATTGGACAACCTGTATGGTTGTTTGATGGGTCAAATGTAAAGGACCCTACCTTGTCACAAGACAACTAGATGACGTGTCTTATTTGGTGAAGAGATTGAAACAACCCGCTAAGGCTTACCATCTTGATAGATTGAATCCATATCGTGGCATAAACTTGCCACCCTGTTTAGGAAGTTAACACCACAAAGTTAATAGAGTCTGACTGTAGAAACGTGATACCAGTATGTTTTTTTTTATATAGACACGTGTCTTAGAAGGATGGTGTCCTAGGGTGATTCATCGCCCCCCAGATGAATGTGTAGATAGTATCTGGAACTACTATTATTGTACATTAAGAAACAGTTGTCTAGGGCTGGACCGGACTGTATGGTGGTAGACAGTTGTCTAGGGCTAGACCGGACTGTATGTGAAAAAAAAAAACAGTTGTCTAGGGCTGGGCCGGACTGTATATAAGCGGAAATCAGTTGTCTAGGGCTGGGCTGGACTGATGATTTTTTTTTTTGGTTCCAACAAACAACTGGAATAAAGTTATAAATGTCAGATGGTGTGACTTCCTGATTCCAAGAGGAATCTACAAAAAATGAAGAATTAAACATGACAGATTGACTGACTTATCCCCTAAACAACTTACCTGTATCAACTATATTTTTAATTCAAACAAGAATTTCCAATCTTGTACTAGCTTGTATACATAAGGGACTGTGTACTGTGTGCCTGGGGGTGGATGGTGGATTTCAAATTTACCGGTTTATTATGTATACAGTATGTGTAACTGTACATTGGTGCTTACCCATGGGGTTGACTGTTGATTTTAGTTTCCAAGCTAATAAAATCAGCGAAAGCTAGTAACGTCATGCTAAGAGATTGGCGCTTCACAGATGCTGATCTTGTGAAAGCACACTTATGCAGTGAAAAAAAATAAAATATTGACAAATAAAATGACGCTATTGAAACAATTGTTAGCAAAATAGATAACAAGTGATAGAGAAACGTTTTAATGAGTGCACTGGTATTGGGCAATACCTTGTGAAATGTACAGGGATAGTATTTTTGAGAACCTCATGTCGGTATGTTTTTGACGTTACAGTGTTGTTGAGTTTGCTCCCTGAATACAAAACGTGTTGATTTTAAAATTGAATAACAGAAATTCTATTAAAACAAATGGGATGAAATTTCAAACTTTAACAAAATAAATATTTTTACATATGATAATGTGCTCATTTTAAATTTCTTGAAGATAATATGACGAAAATTGGCATAGTCCACGATTTTCCGAACAACCCTCGTATATCCATCATTAACCTACTTTAAAATATCGTTCGCTTCGAAAGACTTTTTTCTTGTCAAATTAATCGTTTCGGACATCTCTGGTCGAACCTCTTTATTGTAAACCACTCATTTCTTCCTCGAAAATTACTTCGATACAAAATAAGACTTTGAAAGGGATACATCCGATTGGGGTTATAAATGAAGGATAAAATCAGAGACACTCGGAAGTGTCTGGTTTTATCCTACATTTAAAGAATATATTGGCAGAAATTTCACTGGGAGTGGGGAATTGCAGGAAGATTCTCAAGTTAGCATAAGGAGGAAGGACAATGTGGTATAAGGCAGAACTAGCAGACAGTGTACTGAGAGAAAGAAGGGCCATGAATAACATTATGAGACGTATGGCCATCATGGGACAACCAGACCCCTTAAGCCCCCAGGACTTCTCCGAGGTCACAAAAAGTGTCGTTCATGCTCTGAGGAAGAGTATTGCTATAAAGATTCTTCATGCAGAACCTAGAACTGGAGACAATGCCTTTGACAGAGCACCAATATCGCCTCTTCACCTCCCACATTAATTGAACTCATGGAGGAAGTGGTGGAGGAAGAACCTGAGGAAAGACCATCAAAGAAACCAAAAATGGGCACACAGAAAGAGACACATAAAGAAATGATGTTAGAGCAAAGAAAAGTTGAGCCAATGAAACAGCAGGCACCTGATCAGCCAAAGAGAGAAAGAATACAGAAGAAAGTTGAACAACGGGAGACAACAACAAAAAGACCAGAGGAAGTAAAGATAACTGATAGGAAGGAAAGAGAGGAACGGGTTATAGAGATTCCATTAAGTCCAAAGAAAGTAAAGGAATGTCAAACATCAGATTAAGAGAAGACATCATCAGTTAAGAAACTTGCAAATCAGCTACTGCGGAAGGGGTGTCTCTCACTGTTTCCACCAGCACCGAGAGAGGCGGGTGATGAAGTCATCCGAGTTTTACAAAACCCAGCAGAGATCACAAGTGGCTCCCTAAAAGTAGGAAAGAGATGACACCAGAAAACGAATCCTGGTCATTTCTCCCCAGTTCCTGCTCCGCCTAGGTCATTTCCACCCAGGTCATTTATCCCCTAATTTATTTCGTTCCATTACCTAGGTCAGTTCTCTCCACAACCTAGGTCATTTCACTCCAACATGAAAATTATATAAAATGTTTTATTACCATTACTATTGAGCTTAACATTAACATGCTTTATACTAGTGCCATTATTTGAATTAGAAAATTTATTTATCTATTTCTCTCTCTCTCTCTCTCTCTCTCTCTCTGAGTTCACATTTATTTAAGTATTCCTTAATTCATTTATTTTTTTGATTTTTTATTCTTTCTTCTTATGGATTTTGGAATAACTTTTAAATTTAAATGCGATGATAAAAATATTTTACTCTAATCTATTTTCCCCCATAATTAAATTCAATAGTAGTCTTTAAGTTTGTTTATTTTCTTTTTTGCTGTCATCTTTCGTTTATGACCTTTATCAGGAATTCCGAATAAATATATAATTGTTAGATTTCAATTGCTGTCTGGCGGTTTTATGATACCTTACATGTACAGGGTGTTTTTTATATATACATGCTGGGTACATATGGTTAAATTGTCGATTACATTTCACAGATTGACACCTTAAATACTCCTTTAGATTTGGGGAAATCATTCTTAGTGACAGAAAATGTCAGTTTTGTGTATTGTACACAGATGTGTTCAGCCGAATTATTATATAAATAAGAATTTTTTGCCACTTTTTATTTGACTTAATAAAAATCTCATTTACTGCAATACTTTCTAGAGATCATAGTTTTTAAGCAAGATGACTAATCCTAAATGTATGGACTGTCACAGACAAGTAAGTTTTAACTTCCTTCTTAGACTTATGTGTATTGTATTGTTTTTATTCAGAAAATGTGGTTTGAAATAAATGTAATATTTATATACTATTTCCACCTACTTCGTTAACATTAAATTGCCGTAAAAGTACCCTCCAAATATTCCGGAAATGTAAGAATGTAAAAATGTATTTTTCATTTTTTCTTACAATACTTGTAACAGGTCTTTAGAGGATGACAATCCCATGGATGACACCGTGCTGGAGGATGTCCCAGTAACGTTTAAACTCTTGGAGAAAGGAAGTAGTCGTGGCGGAAGTCTCTTAGTATCCAGCGATGGCTATTCGTATAGTGTCAAAGTAAGTAGCAAGAGGTGTATTCTGATTTATTTTACAACTTGAAGAAATGGAAGAAATCGTCTAAATTTAAAAAAGGAGCGTCTTTACCAAAAATATTATTAATTTTTCCAAAACGATTTCCCATACCCACTATTATGTTAATACTTGTTTAATTTAGCGCAAGGGCCAAATGACAACTACTTGGACTTGCAGCATTTCAGCCAAGGTAAATGAAATTGCTAAAAAATGTAAAATATTGTTAGACGGAATTCAAGTTATGCTTAGAGCCTCTTTATACAGTTAAAATTAAGGTGAAACAGTCTGCAAGAGAGAATGTGTTCCAGTCAGCAATGTCAATTGCAGAGGGAACAGTAATGGACCATTTCAATGAGGAAACTAGATTCCTTGCACCAAATCTCCATTTGATAAATTTCCAGGTATATAGATTATTAACCTTTTTTCCTTTTTCTCGGAAAATAAACCACTATCCACATGTTACATCCATCATGCTTGTTTTTAGATGCATGGACCATAACTTCCTCCAGTACGAAGTCTTCCTTGACTCGTAAAACAATGCCTGTAAAATATTATGCAAATCAGAGAAATAACTTCGATTTTCCTGATTCTTTAGGTTTTGCAGGCCATATTAGAACGGCTAGATGAACCAGTTGTTGAGGAAATTATGCTGGACTTTGAAAAAGGTATTTCATTTTCTTATTCTCATTACACAAATGAAAGAAACAGTACTTAGTGTAGGAATGAAAAATGTTGAGGATTATAAGTTAAATTAAATATCAATTTGCCTACGTTAGCGGCTTGGCAGTCCATTCGAGAAGTATTGCCTGGTATTTCAATCCGTGGATGTGTCTTCCATTGGACACAGGCATTATGGAGACATGTGCAGGACCTTGGACTAGCTGCCACCAATCGTGAGAAAAAGGCAACTCGCTGGTTTATTAAACAATTAATGGCCCTTCCATTTCTGCCTTCAAATTACATCAACCCCCCACATTCCGGGCAATGCAAGAAAAGGTTCAACCATCTTCTTCTCTGAAGTCCCTCACAGACTACATGGAGAGACAGTGGATTAATTAGCAACGCAGTATTCCCTATTCCAGCCCG